TTAGGGTTTAGGGAGGGGGGGGGGGGACTCTCGGTGTCAAAGGATCTTTGGCGCGTGATATATAGTGGGGAATCCTTCACCACTGGCATGTCACACGTGCGCCTTATGTTTCCCTAAGGCTCCATGTGCCTAAATAGTGTATACTTTAGGCCTTAAAGGGATCCTGCTTTAGGGCCAAAGTATATACTATATTGGCACATGGAGCCTTTGGGTTTGGGATTTTGGAGGGAGAGCAGGAGAACCAGAATTCGATGATGTAGGGTTTAGGGAGTTGCGTTGGGTCTGGTGTTTCGGTGTTCGGGGGTTATAAGACATGTGAAGGCAAGCTGGATGGATTGGTCTATAGAGATGCACAGAATGTGCAAGTGAGAGATATGGGGCATTGGGTTCAACGCACCACACATTTCCCTATGCCGTTGTTAAGCCTGTCTTAGCATTGACATGGGGACACGCGACACGAGATGATGCTATTGTGTGAGATTTGATTTGTTCACTTTTCCTAGACAGGGCCAGACGGTCATAATAAAGATACGGTTAAGTAAGGCAAGTAATTCACTTTGGATTCTTACAGCTCTAATTACTTCTTAACTTGCGTACTAGATACCCTGAGGTCGTGAATAGAACTCCTAAACCCCAAGCCCCAAACTCTTGTTGTTGACTCTGTGCAGGCTGTATGGGGGCCGACAACCTTCCAGTTTACCAGAAGCTTCTTAGCTTTCAATCGCACGGTTTGTTTGTGAAAATGAAAATGTTGGGCTCAGGCCGTCACTCGGTTCAAGCTTTGGGGTTGTTTGTAGAGTCTAGTATCATTCTGCGGTTTTTCTATTAAGAACTGGGAAGTGGGAAGTGCTTTTTTTAACTCTAAACCCTAATGGGAAGTGAGGTCTGGGCAAAGTGGAGAATGCCGTGGCCTACTGCCCGGGGGCTTTCCTTGCCATGGGGGAGGTCCTCTGCCTAGACCGGTGCCTTGGCAATATACCCCTAAGGCTCCATGTGCCTAAATAGTGTATACTTAGGCCTTAAAGGGGTCCCTATTTAGGTGCTTTAGGGCCGAAGTATATACTATATTGGCACATGGAGCCTTTGGGTAGAAGCCTGGATAACATAAGCGCCTCAATAATTCGTTTTTTGGCCGAGTGTTGGGGTATACTATAGTACCCAAAGGCTCCATGTGCCAATATAGTATATACTTTGGCCCCAAAGCACCCATATAGGGACCCCTTTAAGGCCTAAGTATACACTATTTAGGCACACGGAGCCTTAGGGGTATTGTTGCAAGAGTACGGTCAGGGCATGCAGGCAAGAAATGCACTTTCAAGGCTTCTATGGGACTGTTCTCTGAACTAAGGTCTCTTTACTGACAGGGTGTCTTAAGTCTTAGGCGAAGCTTAAGAGTACTGTATACTCTCCTTGGTGATCCACAAGATTGGTACACACTTGGTCATGGCTGATTGGGTTTAAGGTTGAGGGTTTTGCGGATATGGTTGCTGTTTCAGGAGTTCAGTTTTTGCTTCCCAGACGCCGCAGGTACATCATGATGCAGGTTCATGTTGTCAACCGGGCATTCCAGCGGGCGCCTCTGGCAATGGAGAGCGAGTTCGATTTCCCACACATGACTTTGGCGAAGCTTGAAAGTGGAGAGTCGGAGCACGTCAATGATGAGACCATCTGGAAGAGTGCTGTCACAAGCGAGGAGATCAACATCACTCGAATCTAGGTGGCACTTTGGGAAGCCTGAAAATGTCCCTTAAAGTACCTATGGAGTACCTAAACCCTAAACCCTAAACCTATTCAGAAATACTTTTCAGGGCCCCAAAAATGCAGCCCAGGAATACTCACACAGCTGAACCACGACGTCAAATGCTCTGGCCTTCCTTTCAGACTGACCCCTGTCCATGTTCAACAATGCTGGTATGGAGAGCGCTACAACATCACAGGCCGCGGTGGTTGTTATAATGTAGAGGCCTAAACGATTACCAATACTATTTTGGGGGTTCCTTAGTATTATTATAGTATCATGTGCCCCAAAACCCTATTCTAATTATTAAGGCCCCTACATTACTCCCGTGCTGGGTGAAACGACCCGCAAACCATTTCTGCCGCGGCCTGGGAGCCTGAGGTCTCGGTATAGGGTTTAGGGCTTATAGGGTTTATAGGGTTTAGGGTTTATAGGGTTTAGGGCTTATAGGGTTTATAGGGTTTAGGGTTTATAGGGGTTAGGGCTTTAGGGCTTAGAGGGTGTATAGGGTTTTTAGGCCCAGAGACTCCAAAACCCTTTAATTAAGCAATATACCTTAAATTATAGTAGGAACCCAAGTATAAGATTTAAGGTATATATTCCTTATTTAAGGGGTTTTGGAGTCTCTTGGGGGGTTTAGGGTTTAGGGTCCACGCTAAATGCGACTTTCGAAAGACCCCCAGACTCCGCCGGGGCCTAAAGCTGAACACATAAACCCCGAAACCCCCTGGAAAACCCTCAAATCCTATAACGGTTTAGGGCTTAGGGTTTAGGGTTTGTAGGGTTTAGGGTCTATGGTTTAGGGGTTTAGGGACGCCCCAAAACCCAACCGACAGGCGGCGAAGGGCTTCAAGTTTTCCGACGTCTCCAAGCCTTCGTCCTCTCCGCGTGCGTCAAGCTGGGTCCTGGCAGCGTGCAGGAGTTTTGGGGCTTAGGGAGACGCTATGAACGGTTTAAGATTCAGGGTTTTGGGCCTTTGTTTATGGTGCTTCGGATTTAGATGTAAGGCTGTCATCCCCTTTACACGCCTGTCTAAACCGACATCGGCGGAGACTTCTATCTGCCTCCAGATAAGCTGTTGGTTTAAGTTTTGGATCTTTTTGATTCGAGGGGCTTGGGTAGCTCGTCATATATGGTGTATTATATCCCAGCAAGCCAAACCCCCGAACCTCCACCCCTATGCCCTATAGACCTGAAAGTGTTTAGAAACGGCTTTGCTGTATGGCCAGGAGTGGTCAAAGGAGCCTGGTCACCCGCACATCACCTATGAGTACCCGAACATGCGAGAGGCCCGAGCGGCCCATTGGTGAGACACCTTGGTTCTTGTAAGGGGTTTGGCAGTTCTATTGAGATTTTGGCAAGGATGGTGAGGTTCTGCCGATTAAACCCTAGACCCCAAACACAAAAACCTACACCCAACATCCTGAAGCAAAGAAGCTCTAGCCTCGCCTAAGGGGCGCCTAGGCACACGTACACACACACACACATAAACAAATAGGGTTTAGGGTTTGGGGTTTGCGGTTACCCCTAAAGGCCCTAAACCAGATCCACGAGGATCAGACTAGGAGACAGTTTTTCCATCAGTTCAGCAAGCCGCAAGCCTAAAAGCCGTTGAACACTGCCCCCTGCGAACCTGAGGGAGCAAGGAGTAGTAGTAGCCCAAAGCCGAGAAGGTTTACTAGCTTGGCATTGCATACAATTGTTTGGCATGCATGGTGCGCTAGTTGCTGGTTGTCGATCTGTTCTGTCCAACGCCAGCAATAATGCCACGACAGCAAACCATGAATTGAAACGGCATACGAAAGATGCCTTAATGATGCGTGAAAGCAGGTTGAACTTGCAGAAACCCAGGTCAGTACTAGTAGGAATGCGCAGAACATCCTTGAGCACAGCTATAGGCCGCATGGAACAGGGGCATTATATTATGGATTTGCTTGCATGTATATATATATATGGTTCCTGTTGAAAAGTCTGAAGTTTTTGTTCTTCTATGAGGATACTGCAGTCTCCCTACTGTCACACACCGCCTGGACCCTAATACTCTCAGAGCCACACTGCATCGACTGTAAACCCTATCCCTACGGTTGATGGTATAAATCCTGCACTACCCTAAGAGCCCCAAACTGTGGGAATTATGGTACATTCCTTCGTCTGGGTAATGCAGGATTTATCACCAAGCGTACAGGTCCAACAAGTCCTTGTTTATGGCTGTTGCTACCCAAAAAGGACCCAACGTCCTACAATAGGGAGTGACTCGAACCCTTGGGGTATGCAGGTATACACCTCTAAAGCCAAAACCCCAAAAACATTTTTTTTAGAGCATGCGCCCTAAAGCCCAAAACCCGACCCTAAACCCTAAACCGTAAATCCTATAAACCCTATAAACCCTATAAACCCCTAAATCCCAATAAACCCTATAAACCCAAAACCCTATAAACCCTGTAAACCCTATAAGCCCTAAACCCTAAACCCTATAAACCCTAAACCCTAAACGTTAAACCCTACAAATATATAAACCCTAGACCCCGGGGGAGGCCCAGCCCTGGGCCTGCGACGACTGGAGCTCCAGCCGAGGCAAAGCTGGTGCTAGCATAGAACTATTTAGGTTTAGGGTTTAGGGTTTAGGGGTTTAGGGTTTAGGGGTTTTGGGAGTTTAGGGGTTTAGGGTTTGGGGGTTCAGGGTTTAGGGATTTAGGGGTTGAGGGGTTTAGGGTTTAGGGTATAGAACCTTCAAGAATCGCCTATACTATGCAAACCCTCAGCCCTAAACCCTAAAATCCAAAAGCCTAAGACTCTAAACCTTAAGCCCTAAACTCTAAAACCCAAATCCCTAAGACTCTAAACCTTAAGCCCTAAACTCCCGACGACCCTGGAGTCGAAACCGCCGCGAGGCAGCTGTCGAAGCAGTGCCACAAGTCGCGCATCATCGCTGGAGCGGATCTTGGATCGCCCTTCGACCTAGTGTTGAAGCTCTGTTTGTGTCGTTGTTTTTCTTTTGCTTGTTATTTGCTGGGGTTTGTGTCCTAAATCCTAAACCCTAAAATGGGGTTTGTGCACAGGTAAGGGCCCGTAAGGTTATAAGGTTTTGTGGTTTAGGGTTTAGGGTGAAGGTTTGGGCTGTGCAGGATATTTAGTGCCTGTTCGGGATTACTAATTCAGGGCTGGGTGTTGAAAAGTATGTTGATGCCGGTGGGTTTCTCATAAGGGTCTTAGGGTCGTTAGGGTCTTAGGGTTGATCTGGGCTTTCGAGTTCAGCTCTTGCTGCGGTTTGGGTCTTTAGCGTTTGGGGCTCAGGGTTTGTAAGGTGTGGGGGCCTCGTAGTTGGGAAGAGAGGGTGTCACAGGGTTTAGGGTTCAGGGTTGTGGGTTTGGGGTTTTGGTGATCTCAGGTTATTCTTGGGATAACTTTAAACTTCGTTCAGGTCTTCCGTAAAAGTGAGATTTCTTCGATCCATGTTCAGTGGGCCTATATGAGCGAGGCCTTGATGAAGCACGTCTGCGAAAGTATCGGAAGCTCTTCATGAAGGACAGCCAGTCCCCAGCAACCCAAGCCACTCTCTGCCATACTTAACTCTTCGTCATTAATCACTATAAAGAGCCACAAGAGATCAACAAAGGGTACCTTGCGTGCTGGTTGTAAATAGGTTCTGGCATTCCCGTGCATTAGCTTTGGGACCTCTAAAGGGACAGGAAGTCGGCATGCGGACGACATGTTGCCGAGAGTTGGAAGCCGTAGATTTGCCAACTCCAAACTCGAAGGCAACCTGCAACCTTTTTAGGCGGTTATAATGACACCTGGACAATGACCAAAAGGTAAGTGCTCAAGGTTTAATCCTGAGGTTTTAAGGCTCTACAACTACGCGAAACTACGAGACCTTGTCTCGAAACGCCCTACAACTCCTAAACCTTGGAAGTCTTTGTGAGCTCCCAGAAGCCCCCATGTTTCCGGATTTTGTCTTGTCACGTCAGCAGCCTGACATCTAAGACTTCCAAAGTCTGACACGGTTTAGGGTTTAGAGTTTGCGGTTTAGGGTTTAGGGCTTGGGGGTTCAGGGGATTAGGGTCTATAAGGTTTAGGGTTTAGGGATTAGGGTCTTTAGGGTTTAGGGTTTAGGGTTTAGGCAGGACCCGTCTGCCCGAGAAATGAACCCCAGGGTCACGAAAAGACGGTTAAAACACAACCCTAAAGCTTAAAGCGCATTCGTCAAGATGAATCGCACAACCTTACAGTCAACCTCAGCTTTATGGTTGGCTGTTCAGCGTTCAGGAGTTGCCTGAGGATTTGATGCGCATGTTGGGGATCAAAGGTTCGTGGTGTAGGGGTTGAAGGGTATAGGGCTTCGGGTTTATCTAGACCCGAGAAGATAGAGCCCTTCCCTGGATAATTTGTTTTTATGGCCAGGATCCTACAAGAACAAGCTGAGCGGACAAAAATTAGCTACCACATTTTAGAGTTTACAAGTATTGTATATGGTTTGGAGGAGCGGCTTGGTACGACGGCACTGCTGGCAATGGACGATGCGCGGCTCAAGGTTCGGAATTCTAAAAGAAGATAACCCCATTTGGGGCACTCGTGTCTCTACCAACAGTCTAAATTAAGCTCCCCACAGAACTGCGAACTCTCTCAGGGTTCTATACCTGCAATGTTTACGTGCTTGATGCATCACACACTCCTCCATATATTGGCCGGCATTACTACTATACCCAGCCACGTGCCAATTTTTCGTGTCCCCCTACGCCCAGACTCCTTTGCTTAAAAGTAACATATGAGAGAAGCAATTCCTTACTTAAAGCGGGTTCACAAGATTGTAAAGCAGGAAATGGATGCAGAGTGCGATATCAGAAAGAAGCAAGCCGACAAAACCCTCAGCCGAACACCCTAGAACCCTCAACCGAACACCCTGGAGGCGGTCGGTATCAGTGCCATGGGAGACCGAATCAAGATCCTCAAGATCCGTGAGAGCCTGCTAGCTGAGCCCTAATGTGGACCTGTGGTTCCGTTAGGGTTCAGGGTTCAGGGTTTGGGGTTTCGGGTGCTTTCAGAGCGATACTTTGGAATATAGGCCCGAATCTACTGTTGTGTAACAGTGCAGGGCTTGGGTCGGCAGGGACCCTTCGATTAAGTAGGTTGCCTAACTCCTTGGGGGCTTGAAGTCTGAGCCTAAGGGTCCATGTACCCAAATAGTATATACTTTGGCCTTAATGTAGTCCCTATATAGGTACTTTAGGGCCAATGTATATACTATTTGGGCACATGGACCCTTAGGGTGAGCTGGTAGGGCTGCTGAATGAGGGCGCCACGATAAACAAAAATGCTACCCTTCCCTCAGCAGGGCTAGTTAACAGTTAACAGTCCTAAACCCCGGCCAAGCCGAACATTGGTAGGCATCCCGCGGCATCCCACTATCATTTTCTATGCAAGCATTGGGATACTGACAGATCAGCGGACTTAGTGGCGAGGTGTGGAGTAGGGTTGTATCTGCTTGCTATGTCATCAAAGCTGTCAAAGCCTGCGAGCAATCAAGGGTCCATGTCAGGGAAGTGCCTTTCTTTGCTTGGCGTTTCGTCCACCACCCAAAGCTCACAGTCTGAAATGAAAAGCTAGATTCGTGTAGAAGAACCTAACAGAGCTGGGGGTGGCCTAAACCCTAAGCCGAAAACTGGGCTCTTGTTGGGGGATTTAATTTAAGTTACCACAATTGGGATCTATAGTAAATAATATGGTTTCCTTATAATAGTAACTTAAACTAAATCCCTTAACCGGAACCCAGCAAACCGTGGTACCTCCCGGCACGAGCTGATGAAGGGCCGACGGGGTTAGACTTTTCGGTCCAGCGTAGAAGCTTGGGGCTGGAGGAAGACCCCTGATTCATAAACCCGTCTCCCTCAAAAAGGATACCCTCCTAAACCCTAAACCCTAAATCCTGATGTGAAGGCCTTTCAAGACAGGGGATTTGTGTTAAACTCGGGGCTACATCATAGTAGATGCTTCTCAAGCACTGCGAACTCCGATCGGTTTGGATGCCCCCCCAAAGAGCCCACAACTTCTTCCCTGTCGCACCTTTGAAGCCCTATAAATCCTAAACCTCCACATCAATCCCAGGAGCCCTCAACCCTAAACCCTAAACCGCCAAATCCCGTTGCACTTCTACGTCCGTGCTCACGAGACTTAGAATGTCGCTGGAGTCTACCACTGCCGCCTGGTAAGCTTTTCAGGGTTTAGGGTCATTTATGGATCTGTTTTCACAGCGGTTGTTTGTTGGCTTTCTAAATCCTAGCATGCCTCCATCTCTAAC